AACCGAAATTTTTCTGAATTAATGGAAACATTTTTTATGCTACAAAAATCGCCTCAGTAGAGTAAATTATCAATGCTGCTAAAGCTCCACATGGACAGTTAATTTAAAGGAGCTAAGTAGGGCCAAAGTAAGGCTTTTATTGATGGACAAGGTGGGCATATCAGTTAACTATCCAAAAGCCGTGGTAATAATATTTAGATTGTTTGAGTGACGTAGTCGTTTAGAGACAAGTATTCGGCTTTGCCATAAGCCTTCCAGTGCGTAAAGGGAAGACTTAAGATACTACAATTCCATTTAAATAATGCTATGGTTTCATATAATGATATTCTTCTTCTCTTTAAAAGTTGCTAGTCTCCGATGGTTGCTCCAATATCGTGTGTCTTGAGATGACCTATAAACTCAATGCTAACCTCAAGTAGTGATGTTGTCGAATCATCATATAAAACGGTTGACTCGCAATGAAGCTGAATGAAGGGAGTAAAGGTGCACAGATCGAACGTTTCAGACTTAGAAGCTTTATTTGGAAATGTTTTAACGATCGCTATTTATCAAAATTGCTCCAAAGGCTGTATTTGAAGTGCGCAACATGCTTGCGATGCAAGATCTGGAATTACTTGAAGATAAAACTAACAAAAGTAATAAAATCAAAAAATACGAATTATTGGCGGTGCATTGATGTGTTAATTAAACCTAGACTTAGCTGATTTCGAAGCATGACATGCACCATGAGAAGTCCTTTTGTTAAACCGCCTTCAACAGCAATATGTCAGATCGAATGGGAGCAAATTATGGGCAAAAATGGTTCCAAACCAAAATGATATAAGCCATTGTTATTCAGTATTTTCCTTCATGCGCCTCATTTAAATTTTGTTTTACTGCAGCAGGATTGGTTACATTGGCCTTAAGCGCTTCAATTACCCGGCGATCTCATATAACCACCTGTTTGTAGATTTTTTGAATTAACGTGGGCAGATAGCAGAACCGTCCCTGTTCGGCTACCGAGCATTTTTCTGTTAGTCGACTCATATTCACTGGTTTTACGTTGTGCTTTCACATGCACCCTTTCTATTTCCTCACTAAGTCTGCCATGAATTGTTATCCTTTTCGTTCCGTTTGTTTTATGCGCAGTTATACTTCGCAAGTATATTTCTATGGAACTCAAAAGATATTCAAAGTTGAGGTTCATTGCCAAGAGACTCCTTAAAACTTCAATTCGACTTATTGTTGCCCTTACTCCTAAGCGAGCTAAATATTATACAATTTTACCATAATTTCGTGGATACGGTTTCTTAAACAAACATGTTGCTGATGCACATGAGCACGTTTGTGTCGCTTTTAGAAGGATCTCGATTTTGTGATTTTGAGCGATGTTACCAGAGTCTGAACTGCTGCTGGTCGTTGTTGGCTTTATGATTGCCTTCGCATTGGCCTTTGGCTTGGGTGCAAATGATGTCGCTAACTCTTTTGGGACCAGTGTCGGCTCAAAAGTGCTCACTCTCAGAGCTGCTTGCATACTTGCAACCATTTTTGAAATTTCTGGCGCCGTTCTCCTTGGTGGCCAGGTATCGGCAACCATTCGTGGTGGAATTATCAATCCAAATCTATTCAACGAAACTTCAAACGGTGCTAACTTGCTTATGTACGGCCAGGTAGCATCACTAGCAAGTAAATTTCGCATCAGCAACTTGCTTTAATACGTACTTATTTACTTTGGGAGTAATTTGGGTGTTTTTTCATTGAGGTTCGTGCATTTGGATGCTTGTTGCCACTTTCTTCAAATTACCTGTCTCAGGTTCCCATAGTATTGTGGGTTCCACTGCTGGTTTCGGTCTTGTGCTCTTCGGTCTGGGTGGCATTCAGTGGATGGGTATTTTGCGTATCGGTAAGAACTGTTATCTACTATCACCTGCTACAGTTACCTAGCCTGAGTTTATAAGTAAATGTAAAATATTTTGAATTG